GCTTCGGGCTTTGGAGAGTTGGGCCGGGGCCCTTGTCCCGCCGTCGGCTTTGGAGGTGTAGTAGGTGGGCGGTTGTCTGGCGTGTAGGCCAGGTCCCCGCCATGATGCGCTGTGGGTGGCGCCATAGCCATAGGCTTTTCCTAGGTTGTAGCCCCCTGTGGAGGCATGCCTATGTGGTGTAATGTCCCTTGTATTGGACTGGATCCCTGTCCCCGCCCCTTCTCTGCCCTCTTGCGCGGCCGGAGGCCGCGCCGCGAGCGACGGCGGCCGAAGGCCGCCGGCGCGAGCGCCGCAGCAGGGACCGGATGAAGAACTCAACTCGAAACTAATTAAAGAACTCTAGGATGGGTGGAAGAGCCTTATATACCATGGGCTCTCTCTCTCTCTCTCTCTCTCTCTCTCTCTCTCTCTCTCTCTCTCTCTCTCTCTCTCTCTCTCTCTCTCTTCTCTCTCTCTCTCTCTCTCTCTCTCTCTCTCTCTCTCTCTCTTTCTCTCCCTCTCTCTCTCCCTCTATTTCTCTCTCTCTCTCTCTCTCTCTCTCTCTCTCTCTCTCTCTCTCTCTCTCTCTCTCTCTCTCTCTCTCTCTCTTTCTCTCTCTCTCTCTCTCTCTCTCTCTCCCTCTCTCTCTCCCCCTCTCTCTCTCTCTCTCTCGCTCTCTCTCTCTCTCTCTCTCTCTCTCTCTCTCTCTCTCTCTCTCTCTCTCTCTCTCTCTCTCTCTCTCTCTCTCTATCTCTCTCTCTCCCTCTTTTTCTCTCTCTCTCTCTTCCTCTCTCTCTCTCTCCTCTCTCTCTCTCTCTCTCTCTCTCTCTCTCTCTCTCTCTCTCTCTCTCTCTCTCTCTCTCTCTCTCTCTCTCTCTCTCCCCCCCCCTCTCCCTCTCCCTCTCTCTTTCTCTTACCTATCTTTTACCTACGTTTTCGATGCTTCTCATACTTATCACTTCGCTTATAGTCATCCTCGCCCAGTTTGGTTTTTGTTTCCTCTTCTTTTTTATTCTTCGTAGTTCAGGTCTTCTTTGGAGTATGCTGGCAAATTTTGACCGTGGACTTTTACGGGAGACGGTTGCTATTTTGTTTTTTTTTCTTTGTTTTTCATGTTTTTTTTCTAAATGTTTGCTGTTTTTTTTTATTATTATTCTCGCTTCCTGCAATGCATTTTGTGGTTCTCAAAAAGTGGATTGTTTTTATCATTTCATATACGGTGTGTGACACGCTCTGTGAGTGCAGTCATTTGAACTGGAAGTGATGAGTGCAAGCTTTTTTTTGGAATTCACAAACTGTGTTGTTTAGTCTCTATTCTATTGACCTCCCCCCCACGCTATTATTGGGGAAGCAATAGATATAAGAAAAAAAAAGTTGGGAAACAAATTATTGACATTTGTTTCTTTTAGTTCTTGAGTCTGTAATTTGGTGGTCAATTCAAAATATGTGCACATATTTTCTAGGTTGGTATAAAAATTGCACCCTTTTCCTGCTAGCACTGGGGAGGGAACAGCTCTTTTTTGTCTTCGAAAAAAATGAAGAAAACACCGAAGGCTACAAAAAAAAAAAAAAAAAAAAAAAAGGGGGGGGGGGGGGGGGGGGGGGTGCATCAATTTGGTTCAACACTTATTACTGTCTATGTCTAAAAAAAATCAGCTACGATATTACAGCTATTGTTTATTCTATTATATACCCGTACGCTGTATATTACTGTAATCCCCTGCAAAGTGCACCCCCCAAAATTGAACACTCACCGGGTGTTTCATTCCGGTGGGTGTTATCCCAGATTCCCCACTAAGAACACCCCGCAAATAGATTTTTGAAAATTTCATAACACGGGATAGAAACACAAGCATTCGCATTCGGATCACCCAACATCGCGCACGAATCCTAGCGCAATCTAGGGCAACAAATATGATTCTAGCCAACTGTACAGTCAAGAGATGTCAACGCGTGGGGAAAGCGTAGCATGCTATTCCCCACGACCAATGAAGTTGCTGAAAACATTCCGCAATTCATGGCGTTATGATTGTACCGTACTCGTTTCGGAGCCTGAACTGAGACATCGCAATTGCGCCCTTCTAGTGATTACTGATCTGCACTCTTTTTTATTATCTGTTAAAACCTTTCATAACACACTTGGGTGTAATTTTTTTAACGGTTGTAAAATTAGCACCCGTCAAACGTATGGCTTTTATAAGTACACCCTAGGGTGCCTTATGTGGGGGATTACGGTACGTTTCTTACGGAAATAGAAAAATGTATCTAGTTTTTTTTTTTGATTTGGAAATTAGGGTGAAAACAAACAGTTTCGATCGATTGTAATGGGTTGCTCCACAACCCAAGAAACTCACTTTCCAATTGCTCCCCATGTGTGCTATTTAAGCCCGTAGATGTGAGTCGATTAGTGCACGTCAATTCGATACTGCGGTTTTTTTTTTTTTTTTTTTTTTTTTTTTTCCAAGACCATTGCACTTTGTATGATATACAAAGCTAACCTTTGTTCGTAACTGCTTCTAATGGGACTAGGCTTGAATATGCAATCCCCTTTTCAAACAGCTAAGATGGCTTGATGAAGCTTCAACGTTTGTCTAGATGGAATGGAAATCCTTGTGTCCACCTCATCCTATTTGCAGAGTTGTCACGTATGCAGTTGAGCACAAGGACCTTGTCCTTTGCTGAATGTGCACGTATCTTTCCCTTCTGCTTCCTCCTCCTACCGGGCGACGTTTTAATCTTCTCTACTACTTGCGTAAATGCTAACATGGTGGTTAAGTATCACATTGATCTGTTGTAGCGACCTTTTTACCTGCAGCTTCTCCCCTATTAAGATTGCATCACACCAATTGAACAAGATCCTGTGGAGTATACTAGCCGTGCTAGTTACTTCCGGAAAACCTGACTGAGTGGCGTTGCTTGGGAAGGGCAGCTCTTTAATTGACGACACCCGTCTTTTGGGATTGAGGATGGCTAGCGATATTTTGAGCGCCCCCACCAACGGCTGAATTTCGGCACACTCGTAGAGGCAGTGAGAGAGGGTTTCCACCTCTCTATTGTGCGGACAAATCCCCTCTTCCCCCCAAAAATTCAACCTCTCTCCAACCTATAGGTTTCGACTATGGACTCTTTGCACTAGGTCTCTAGATCTAAGCGATATCGCGAGAGAGTCACGCCAATCAATCTTAGTCCCTTCTCCTCCCAAACCAATTGTTAATTCGTACACTCGAAAGATTGCAATGGCTACCTCCTCAGCTTCTTTAACGGTGCCACCGCAACTCCAACTCTAAGGACCATATCTAGTAATCTCACCGCTAGCAAACCCAACTCCCCCAATATTTTCTGTTCCAAAACTTTCAGCAATGCCACTCTAGTGGTGTGCAGCTGCATCTCCCACGTGTCTTCTTTCCGAATCAGACGGCCCTCCTCATCGGCGCCAATTCTTTTGCCTCTGTGGCTTCTGTCGTGCTCAAGTCAAACCTCCCATATGCAGGATACTCCTTTCGCATACCTTTCTGTTTATACTATCTCAGTCGCTCCTACCACCTCTTCTATTTCCAGTCAAACAAGATGCACTATTTCTATTGCAGCGAGGCATTTTCGAAAGCCTTCTGTTTGATTGCCCTTGTTGTCTCGTCCCCCAACTCCATTTCTATATTTTTTTGCTCCTTTAGCTCCCTCGAACCATCTGCACACCTTGTAACCAGATCTCCCATCTCAAGACCTCTCAGCTTCTTAGTACATTGTTGAAATCCGAAGAGGGATTACCCTCTAAACAACATCCTCTTATCGAAGGTTATCTGCTCCTGCTCCACCTCCCATCTCGTATTTGCTTCGTTAACTTCAATAACTCCACCCTCCTACTCATCTGCTTCCACCTTGCGCTGCCGTCTCCCCACTTCTTAAGCAGATATGGGTGAGCATACAAGGACCAAGCCCAGCAGGGGCTTCGCCGCTTGTTCTGTCAACTCACTCGGTATGGGGCAGGTTTCCAGCTGTGTTGCGTCAACACACCTCTGGGCAAGACTATCTACCCGATCCTTAGACTCCACCATCCCGAGCCCCTCTTGCTTCTGCAGTGTGCACATCACCTGCCAACTCAATAGCGTAAAGTGATTGTCTTCATCCGCTCTGTTCCTTGACACAAAGTTTAGTGCCGTCTCCCCACTTCTTAAGCAGATATGGGTGAGCATACAAGGACCAAGCCCAGCAGGGGCTTCGCCGCTTGTTCTGTCAACTCACTCGGTATGGGGCAGGTTTCCAGCTGTGTTGCGTCAACACACCTCTGGGCAAGACTATCTACCCGATCCTTAGACTCCACCATCCCGAGCCCCTCTTGCTTCTGCAGTGTGCACATCACCTGCCAACTCAATAGCGTAAAGTGATTGTCTTCATCCGCTCTGTTCCTTGACACAAAGTTTAGTGCCACTTTCTCCACCTTTTTCCATATCCCTTATGGCGACGAGTATACATGGGATTGGAACAACAGGATCAGCATCAAGCAGTTGTTCAGGATGGTAACCCTTGCCATCGTCATGCGATACTTAGATTGCCACTTCATCCGTTCTTTTCCCTATCAAATGCTATCCCACACGTTAGGTCCGCACCCACTGGGCGATACATGGACGCCCAACAGCCGCTCCGCCTTCTCTCTATCCACCCATTTATAACTTTGATCTGGCGGTGCTGCAACCTTGGCATTCTTCCCCAATGAAAGCAACTTCGCCTGGTTAGTCTTGAGGCCCAACACCTGTCCGAATTCCAGCAATATTTTTTCGCATCCTTGAATTGCTGCTTCGCGTTGATAACCAGCGAAAGTGTCATCTGCATACCCGATGTACGCCACCCAAAGACCTCCCTTCTTACTTAACCCCAGTAGCCGCTGATAACTAGTCTGGTGCTGAAGACTCTGTGCAATCCTTCTACCCAACTCATGAACCTCTGTAATAAGCCCACACCTCTCATAACACAAAACATGTACTCTCGATGGACGGAGTCGTAAGCCTTCTCGAAGTCTGCCATCAACAAATACCAATCCTTGTTCCCATTTATGCCGGTGCGTTGGTGAGTCCGAATGGCATTACCAAATACTCGTACGATCCATACCGAGTTCGGAAAGCAGTTTTGTGGAAAGAGTTGTCCGCCATGCGTATCTGCCAGTATCCGGACCGCAGATCCAGTTTGGAAAATACCGTAGCTCCCCAAAGCTGGTCAAGTAGGTCATCGATTCGCGGTATCGGATATTTATTCTTGATGGTCTGCTTGTTAAGAGCTCGGTAGTCGATGCACATGCGCAGGCTTCCGTCCGGTTTCGGTGTGAAGAGTACTGGGGCACCATACGGCGAAGTGGATGGTCGGATGAGTCCTTTGGCTAGGAGATACTCGATTTGTTTTTTCATGTCGGTCAGCTCCGTAGGGCTGAGCCGATATGGTGCTCGGAAGGTCGGCTTCGAACCTGGTTCCTCCACGATCTCGTGTTGATGCGTTCGGTATGGCGGTAGCTCATTCGGTAGATCATCCGGAAGAATATCTTGGAACTCCTTCAATAATTCCTTGATCGTTCCTGGAGGTTCCGAGGTTCTCTCCCTGTCGTTCTCCGCCTCTGTTGCTATTGCCAAGAACCCTGTGTCGGTTCGCTTCACGTCCTTCTCGAATCGCGCGAGTGTCTCCACTGGGAGATCTCCTGTATCATCCCAGTTGGGTAGCTGTACTCTCCGTCCATTGTTGTAGATGCTTGCGGTGCGGTTCACCCAGTTGATCTCGGGGTTGAATCTTTTTAGGGAGTCTCGCCCAAAGATCAGGTCAAGCCCTTTGATGTTGGTGATGGGAAGTGCAGGTCTCCAGCGCAGTGGTCCAATTTGTAGGTGTAGCACTGCTTCGCCGTGTACTGGTAACTTGCTGCCGTCCACCATCGTTGCAGAGAATCCTGAAGGCTTGTACTCTTCCCGAAGTTGGTCGATTACTGCCTTGTCGCAGACGGTGTGTGATGCTCCGCTGTCCACGAGTGCTTGGAGGCGTCGTCCTTTGCAGATGACCTCGAGCACGAGGGGCAGTCGTTGCTCGGAGTACCCAAAGATAGTTTCATTGATTGGGTCATAGGGTACATCCCAATATTCCGTACACACCTTTGTGTTGCTATCTACTCCTGAGTTGGCAGCTGGCCGAGGCTGCTTGGAGAACGGCTCTTCTCCAGGGCCCGGAGTTTCCTTGACGACTGTGCGCGTCACTGATGCCGAAGAACTGGATGCATCCGGAGCAGGTTTTGGGGGTTTGTGCAGCTTCTTATAGACCCCCAGCTTCCTCTTGAGCTGCTTCAGCTCCACCGACGTCTTCCCTGGGGAACGGGTAGTCGTTGTGGGCTGGTGTCGGGAGAGGACGTTGACTCCGTGGAAAGGTCGGCTTCTTTCCACACTCCTTAATTTTTTCCCCAAGTTGTCCGGTACCGGTATAATCTCCACAGCTATCTGCTTCTTTTGGAGTCCTTCCCGAATTTTCTCCAAGGCTCTAGCCCCTCGAACATCATAAGTTTTCATTAATGCATCTTTATAAGATAACTTTAACGAATTCTTATAATTTCTTGGATCTTCAAGGAGTTTCCCTGTCTCGGCAGAGTCTTTTTTCGCGGAGTCGTATTTTTCCTCGGCGATTTTCCCTGGCAAAGACTGGTCGTGGGGTGGATATTTTCCCCCATCATTTCCTCCTTCTCGCGTCGAATCAGCTTTGTCGAAGTTGATTTTCCCGGAATCTCGCGGCCGCTTTTGGATCTTTTTATTTTTGCCAGCTAGATCCGCAATCACTGGCGACTCCCGTTTTTTGGCTTCTGATTGGCTGAAGGAATTCCACCAGTGTTGCGTGCCCGATACTCTGCGCGTGCGGCTTTCATTTTGCTGCAGTCGAAGATTCGATGACCCGGCACCCCGCAAAAATCACACGTATAATTGGTGTTTTTCGGACGTGGCCGCCCCTCGAATCTGTCGACTTCCATCGGTTCGGCGAACGTGGGGTGAGCCGAGCGGTCGCCCTGTCGCGTACTGCCGACGTGCGTCCGTCGTGTTCCGGCGTTGACCATGTCGAAGCACTCCGCTGCCGAAACGACGTCACTGTAGCTCGCGTAATTTGACACTGCGACTTGTCGTTTGACTTCGGTCTTCAGCCCGGCGAGGTACGATTGTACTTTTTCCCCTTCGGTCAGGTCGGGAATGCGGTTATAAAATTCCTCCATCTACTGCGTGTACTGCGCTACACTCCCGAACTGTCGGTGTCGATGATTTTTTTCCCGGGCAAGGTAACTGGAATTTATCGGCTCGAAGCGTTTCAGCATGTCAGCGCGGAACTGCTGCCACGTGGCTTCACCGTGGATGAAGGTACTGTTGCCGCCAATCCACTCGAGTGCCGGCCCTCGCATCAGTGTCGCCGCGAGTCGTACACGTTGACCGTCCCAAACTGGCGAGCTCCATCCGACGGCTGCGAAGTAGATCTCCATCCCGGCGATCCATCTGCGGGCGTCGGAGTTTCGATCGCTCGGATCGAACGGCTCAGGTGGGCGCGGTTTCGGAGCCTCGAGAAACTGCTGCGACTGCTGCATCGTCGCCGTTGTCGTCTTGTGCTGCGCTCCGGCGAGTCGAGTTACTCGCTCGAACTCGTTTCGCCACGCTTCGCGATCCGCTCGCATTTCCTCCTGAAGGGCTGCGATGCGCGCGAAGAGCTGCTGGGTAACCTCGGTGTTGTCGAAGGTTGCCATCCTGTTCAAAACACGCACGGAGGGGGTAATTCGAAAATCGCGGAGCTGGTGCTTACCAGAATCGGCGTCGAATTGGTCGCCCCCGGCGGTTTTTCGAGGCAGGTTTTCCCGCTGCTGCTGCTTTGTTGAGCGTGGCCGAGTGAGAAAAAGCTCTGATTACCAAGTGTCACAGGATCGAATGTGTCGAGGAAATATTGCACTATCGATCAGTACAAGGCACTTTTATACTTCCAGAGTACATCAGGTAACCAGGTTTATCTTATCCTAGGGGAATAGACCCTTCTAGAAGATAGAATCACCCTGCGTATAGCCATGCGAGGCTATTGGCTTTAAGGGATTACAGCAGGATTACGCTAGATAGAGCGCACCAGTACATCCCAAGCCTGGTCGGTGATATAATTAGAATAGCAGGATAAACCAAAGGTTAATGGAAAAGGAAGAATAGGAAACCAAATGAGATGGAATAAAAGAGAAATGAAAAAGGAAGGAAATAAGAAAAGGCCAGGTGGTGTAACGGGGTCGTACTCTCACACTTCAGCTTCATGTCGAACTTCGACCAACAGCAGCAGACAAGGACACCTGCGCATTCAACACAGAGCAACGGAGGAAACATGGGATTAGCGCCGATGAGCCTCGACAACTCATCGTTCGGACGACAATCACTGAAGAAAGCTTCGTAACGCTTGTCCTCGCCGGACTGGGGCCAGAATGGAGAACCACCCGCTTGCTCCTTCGCGCCCACGGACGAATCTCGGAGATGCATCTCTGCGCCGAGCTCCATGCTGAACAACAGGAGATGGACCTGTTCGAAGAAAGGCAACCAAGGAAACAGCAACCGTTAGTATTCTACACTCAACGAAGGAACGACAACAACTACAACCGACGCGGCAAACAAGATCAACGCGACAACAGAGGACTCACCATTGTGCCGCCGTTCTGCCACAACTGCCAAACATCCGGACACTCCAAAGTCCACTGCACATGTCCCCGAACTTATCGTCCAGTAGACCCACAAGTCGCTTCCACTCAAGAAAGTCCGCCGAGGCGCTCTTCCACATCTGCACAAAATACACCGAATATCATCAACTGCATGGTACGCATCGACAACTGCGCATCCGGATCACCGCCAACTTACGCTCCCGATGAAGAAGAACCGTCGCCACCGCACTCACAGGGACTTCAGGTCAACCCAACGTACGCTGCAGTCGCCAACTCCGAACCCACCGGACGCAACACTTGGTTCTTGGACAGCTGTTGCGGCCAACACATGTGTTCTTCCGGGCGTTTCGTGCAACGAGAACGACGTCTCAACCGAGACGTCATCATCACTGTCGCCAACAACGAGAACCTGAAGACAAACAGACAAGGAGTGGTTCAGTTACAATCCATGGAGACAAACGATATACTGCAACTCAACAAGGTCCTCATCGTGAACAACTTGGGATACAACTTACTAAGCGTCAGCCAGTTAATGGCAAAAGGAATTCACCTGGATTGCGACTCGGACTCCAACGAATTTTGCCTATACCACGGGAAGGGCGGTCTCTTCATCGGCCGCGCTCTACTGAAGTCCGGCGTCTTCGTGTTGGACTTCGTCCCCGACCGCGGTACCGCCGATAGCGATGGCATCGTGTCATTCGCCGCATGGACACACCCACCGGACCTTGACCCCGACTTCAACCAAAATGGATACTGGTACTCCAGCACCATACCTGCAGCAGAGAGAACACGGGCGTTAGCAGTCATTCAACAAGAAAGACGTGGCTTCCCATCGCTGAACGAGAATCAGGAACGAAGCTCAAAAGCTTCCAATCAGACGGCGCACTAGAATACCAGTCACAACGCTTCAGGACCTACTTGGCGGAAAGAGGAATCAGTCGCTTGGTGTCTCTGCCCTACGCTCACCAGCAGCAGGGGGTCGCAGAACGAATGAACCGGACCTTGCAGACGACGATGCGAAAGCTGCTCCTGGGGATGAGACTGCCCAACACACTGTGGCCAGACGCGATGACACATGCAGTTCACCTGCACAATCTGTTGTCATCGTCATCGCTTCCCAACAACGCATCACCGCACCTGCTGTGGACACGAAAAAGGGGCAGCACAAAATGACTTCGAGTTTTCGGCTGCATGGTACAGTACAGACCTCACACAGCCCGAGCAGGAGGCTTCACTCAACGAGCACGGTGGGGACTACACCTCCGCATCGCCAAACATTTTCACGCATGGAAAATCCTCGACATACAAGACAAAAATACCGTGGCATCACGTGATGTTATCTTCTACGAGCGACTGACGCTGCAGCATTACCTGGACAACATTGCCAACACACACGACCCCACCGACGGCCTCGCGGGCCTTCGTTCCTTCGTCGACCGTGCTGCCGAGGCTGACGCAGCAGAAGAAGACGTACCTGGAGCCTCGGAAGCTGCCGGACCACTCCCTTTCTGTTCCGTACCTGTTCCACTCGACGAAGACAATCCTCTCGATAGCAACAACCTCGACACCCTCTACCACTTCGCTGACCAAGATTACACTACACCTCACCCGGTAGACACGAATATCTCCGAGCGCATCGGCCCCAACTTCTTACCTGATCCAGAAGATGGTGACGAAGCAGCCTATTCCGGGAATGAAAATTCCCCTCGACACACACCCACGGGACTGCAAATCCTCGGCTTATGGGTCTCCATCCAGCACCCGCCGCCGCCATCTCCGCACGAGCCAACGACTCTGTCGCAGGCTCTGGGGGGGGAACATAAGGCGAAATGGAAGGAGGCAATGGAAAAGGAACTGAAAGCTCTGCAAGACCGAAACACATGGAAGCTGGTACCTGCAACGAACGTCAACGGGAAGAACGTTCTCTCGGGAAATGGGTGTACCGCATCAAGACCAATGCGGACGGCTCCATTGAACGATTCAAGGCTCGCTGGGTCGTACGAGGATTTGATCAACGATACGGAACCGACTACACAGAAACATTCGCCCCAGTCACTCGTCACACCTCCTTGCGCATCCTACTCGCCGTCGCGGCCACAAAGAAACTACCACTGCGCCAGATCGACGTCGCAAATGCCTTCCTGTACGCACCTGTGGACGCCGAAATCTTCGTCGAGCAGCCCCACGGATTCATCGACGACCCCACAAAAGTATGCCAGCTGATAAAATCCCTCTACGGGATCAAGCAAGCCCCGCGGCTCTGGCAGCGGCATCTTCACGGTCGCCTCGTCAGAATCGGATTCCTACAATTGCCGCATGACCAAGGCATGTACCGACTGCAGAAGGAAAGAGAGTATATCCTACTCATCGTTTACGTCGACGACCTGCTCTACATCGGTTCCACTACCGACATCGCCACCTGGTTCGAAGGGGAGCTGAAAAGGGACTTGACACTCACGGTGTCCGACACAGTGACCCAGTACCTGGGTCTGAATATCGTCGAAGACAACTCGGCGTTCTACCTATATGCTGGAAAGTACGCAGGCATTGTCGCAAAGAAGTTCGGACTAACACCAACTACAGTCGCGACTCCCTACCGCTAGGGGAACAACAACGACACCTCCGAAAAACTCCCCGCGAAGCAAATCCGGGAGTATCAGCAGAAGCTCGGCTGCCTACTATTCGCAGCAGTAACCTGCCGACCCGACCTATCCTACAGCGCAAGCCAGCTGGCAACGCATCTGAAGCAGCCGGAACAAGAAGATCTCGAAGAACTAAACCGGGCACTACTCTACTTCGTCTCTACGCCGACGACCGGACTTACCTACAGCAAAGCAACAACACCATCCGTACAACTACTCGGATACGTCGACGCCGACCACGCGGGGGACAGGGAAAATCGACGATCAAGAACGGGCTATATCTACCGACTAGAACCTATCGGGACTATCTCCTGGCAGTCGAGCAAACAGGAACTAATCGCACTATCTTCGGCTGAAGCAGAATATATCGCCCTCTGTACTGCGACCAAGGAAGGACTCTACGTGCAAGAGTTGCTCGAGGAAGCGAAGATTGCGACCCTGCCCGTCTTCTCACTCCTCTGCGACAACCAATCTGCGATCAAAATCGCGAACAAGGACGGCTTCGCCAACCGAACCAAGCACATTGCCCTGCGGTACTTTTTCGTCAATGATGAAATCGCGAAGGGGAGACTTCAACTTAGTTACTGCCCTACGACAGAAATGGCCGCAGACTACCTAACGAAGAAACTGGCGAAGGCAAAGTTCGATTACTGCATGCTGCTGACTGGGCAGACAAACGTCACCGGATCTGAACACGTCAGCACTCCAGAAACGAAGGGGAGTGTTGGAAATACCTCAAGGACTTAAGCGTTTTTGAAGTGTAACACCACACTCGAGGAAGATCGTAACGGGTACGCGAGTCAACGGAGGTTACACGAGGGGATGGACAAACAATACGAAAGAACTCGAAGGGTCGCAACTGGAGGTTGCGACTGACAGTTACAACTGCAAAGATGGTAACCGAAGCGACAATCGAGTCGCTGTGTGACTCGATAACCGCCCTTTTTCAACTGTATTCTACAACTGCTTTACTTTCCTACTTTCTATATATTGCTGTATGCTTGTTCTTTTAAATCATCACTTGTTCGCATATACTAGTACAAGGGTTCAACTACCTCAAACTTCCGCTGCACTACTCAAGTCTTTTACAACTGGACTTAGTCTCTGGAAAGATCCTAAGGGCATTTCTCAGCCCAACACCATTAAACAGCTGCTGCAGAGCCCGATGGACCTCCTCCTTGCCCCAATGTCTATCCTATATCGCCGCATCCGAGTCACTCAGTCGTTTATCCCTATCTTTGACCCAGCTTCTGAGACAGCCAGTTCCGCTCCCGAAAGTGACCCTCCCGATGTTTAATGATTCCCTGAGTGCTCATGATTATCTGTCTAAACATCTTGCTAGGGGTTTTTGTTGGATCATGAGGGGCTAGTTGAAAACCTTTTGCATGCCAAAGTAGCTAAAGTATCATATATATATGTATATATAACTGAACATGATAACGAATCGGGTTCTGTACTCAGGCTGGGGCCACGCGTCCCACATTTTCTTGTGCCACGTCAGTGACAGTGGCCACATCCGCATTTCTCTCATCCAGTCTCCTGTCCCCTCTGACCCTTTTCCCCGCGCGAACATTCCACGCTCACCCTCTTTCCCCATCGCCCTTCACATCCATCACCCTTCCCCTCTTCCTCTGTTCTGTTTCTGGGCTCCCCTTTCCCCCATACCTTGCGCCACCACTTTCGTACCCAGCCTCACTCCACAATGATTCTTCTGAAGATCACTCAACCGCATTCCACTGCCTTGACAATCCCAAGGTCACAGCCAAGTGAACGTTTCCATCCCCCCTCACACTCCCCTTCCTTTCTTTCCCCCTTTCTCTTGCTTTCGCCTTCGATCTCCCCTTTCAGCTGTCTGAGGTGCTCCAACTACAGCGGCCTTTTCTGGGGGTTAGTTTTCAGAGAGCCTCCTAGACCGAGTCCGAGCCACCTTTCCGACGTACCTCGTTACCCACGCCAGCCGAGCCGCGTCGCCATGGCGGGGTCCGCGGTGCTTCAGTCTGCGACCATTGACAGAGTCGCGTTGAGGTGCGGATTCTCACGGAGTTATCAAGGCTACACTGCATTATAAGGATCTAGTTCTCGACCATTACCAGGACGTTCTTTTTTTCCCCCACGTTAACTAGCACGACTAGCATTTGAGCTCGTTTGTCGCATTCGATCGACACATTTTGATGTAATGGGAGGGTTGGCGGAACTGACAGACTTCGTGCTCACAGATACCTGTTCTTCCAAAACCCTGATTTTCGGCATTTTTCGACATTTCCTCCGCAACCCTCGTTAGAGTCGTCTAGACATCTTGTTCAGACCGATTTCATTTTCCCCCACAAGAGTCGTCCCGTCGTTTTCTCCCGACAAATCATCGTTCTTAGTTTCCCTGCCCTCTCTGACACCTCGTCCACCGTACACCTCTTCCTTTTAGGTCGACTGAAAAGTTCCTTCGCTGGCCTGCTATCCCGCTCTTCCCGCGCCTTTTCCTTCCCCCCTCCGTTTCCATCTCTTTCCGACTGGCGCCTGCTGCGTGTCTCCCTTCGTCATTCCCCAGGAGTTCATTCATCGGCGAGGCCCAATCGCTGCGCGCCACGTCAGCAGCCGCCTCCTCCCAGACCCTCAGCCAGCAAGGCCTGCTAGCCGGCCGCATTGTCTGCAAGGAGTCGCGAATCGGCCGGAAACCCATTGTCGTGCCGGCCGGCGTGACGATCAAACTTGACGGCCAGTCGCTAATGGTGAAGGGGCCTAACGGCGAGCTGTCGAGGGAGTATCCGAGGGAGGTCCGTCTGAGCCAAGAGGATGGCGCCATCAAGGTTGAACGCGCTCTGGAAACCCGACAGGCTCGCGCCATGCACGGGCTGTTCCGGTGAGTTGAGACGGTTTTGTGCGGTTGACACGCGTTCTCCCAGTGAGTAGACCACTCTAGTCAAGTTGACTTGCACGGACTTCTTCGCGATCCCGGGCAACAATTAACCTCTCCCTGTCGTAACATACTGTCCTCTCGCGACGCTCCGTCGCCGTCACGAGCCGTGTTCATCGGTCGGCTCTGTGAGCGTGTGATTTCGACGCAAATTGCGGCGGACAGGTCTCGAGAAATGCGCACGATGCCGAACAGGTGCCGTTTTAGGCGCGCTTAGAAACACGTACAGTGGCGAACGGGTGACGTTATGGGAGACTCTGTAACGCGTACAATGACAACAGGTGCCAGCAGCTGAGGTGGTGAATGGCAGTTCTTAACAATATGGCAGGCGGGCAGACAAGCAAACGCTGGTGCTGGATGATGTAGGATACAACAGGCATGGAGGGGATGGCGGAATCAGGCCAAATGGCGGGAACGGAGATTGTGAAATAGGAGAGTCGGCGGCAGGAACGGGCGGGACGGCGGAGGCGCCGGACTTGGGAGGCGCAAAGAAAGCAAGTGGTTGCTTCGATTGACGATCTCGCGCAACTGGGATGTGGCCCAACCACGTTGGCGCGGTTTAGAGTCACTGGGGTACGCCGGGACTCAAGTTTTCGAAGCCCTAGGAGCGAGGGTTTAGAGGTGAACGCAGTGGTTGGATCAACGTAACAACGTTGACTAGTGGTGATCAACGGTAATAAGGGGTGGAAGCAGAGCAGCAACAGTTGCAACAGGAGCAGTGGCGTTGATAGCACAAACAGCGGCAGCAGCAACATCAGCAGCAGCAGCCTGGGTCGTCATGCCGTGCTCGCTTTCCTACGTCCTCGTTTTCTTCCTCGTTCCCCCATAGTCTTCCTCTTTCTCGTTCCCCCATAGTCTTCCTCTTTCTCGTTCCCCCATAGTCTTCCTCTTCCTCGTTCCCCCATAGTCTTCCTCTTCCTCGTTCCCTCCACTACCCCCCCTGGCAGCACGCTGACTGACAACATGGTGCAGGGCGTGGCGAAGGGTTTCGAGAAGAAACTGCAGCTGGTGGGAGTGGGGTACCGTGCGGCTGTTGACAAGACGGAGCTCGTGCTCAACCTGGGTCTTTCTCATCAGGTGAGGCGCTCACGCATGTACATGGGTTGGTGCTAGCTGGTTAGCTTGAACTTCGAGGCAAGAAGAGGCTGGAGCTGGTAGGAGTGGGGTACCGTGCGGTCGTTGACGAAACGCAATTCGTTCTTAACCTGGAATTGCACAGAAGGCGGTAAATATTGAGGCTATACTACTTCGGAAGTTGTAAAGCAGAGGGGTTCATGGTAGTGGGTGGTTCAACTCTGCTCTCTACCCCATATCCCCACCCCCTTCCCTGCCACCATCCTCTCTTTTCCCCTACTCTCCTCTCTGCCCCGCATGCCTCTTCACGAGGGCGTGGGTGTGATGGTGGCAGAATAGATGCGCATTATAATCTGTGGGCGGTTCGTGAATGCAGTCATCCCCCTCCTGCCCCCCCCTCTCTCCTCATATCCTCCCACTCCCTTCTTTGGTGCGCATGGCAATCTCTGAATGCATGGGTCCGAAGGTTGAGGAGGGGATGTGCATCACCATCTGTGAGCTGTCCATTGACATTATAAATATGTTTTCGTTCCCTTCCATCATAGGTCTGCATGGCGATTACAAGGTGGTAGTAGGGGACTTGTCAGCTGCTTTAATTCATCCTTTTCTCTCCTCTCTTCTCTCCTACGCATCTCGTTCCCCTATCATAGGTCCGCATGAAAGTCCCCGACGGCGTGGCAGTGAAGGTGGAGGAGAACACACGGATCACCATCAGCGGGCGCGACAAGGTGGCAGTGGGCGACTTTGCAGCAGCGGTGCGCAAGTGGCGGGAGCCCGAGCCGTACAAGGGCAAGGGTATCAAGTATGCGGACGAGGTCATTCGGCGCAAGGAGGGCAAGGTTGGCAAGAAGAAGTAGGCTGCTGCTGCTGTTGGGAGGAGGAAGCAGGTTGTTGCAAAGTAGGGGTGAAAGGATTTGCAGATATAATCATGGCCTTCTGTGTACGCAACGGCTATGTTTATACAATGGTGATGGTGTCTTTTGGGCGTTTACAAGCTTGCAATCGCAATTCATCGCTTCGCCTTGTAATACTATGTTCAGCACACTAAGTGGGCTCTTAACGCTTATTTTGGACTGCAAGATAATGGGCAGAGGACCATTTTCAATTAGAAGTCTCTGGACGGATTTTTTTTGTCGAAACCCCATAATTCACTGCTCGTAATCTGTAGACTGGGCCGTTGATAAAGTAACACTAGGGTAACTGCAGTCAATCTCAACTGGCCACGGTCAGGGCTTGGTTCACCTGTGTCGCTAGCTGGGGCTTTCCCTAAGGGCGGGTCCAAATAGTTTACATCATATTCATTTCGAAAAAGTAACCTGATTTTAACAAGTAACACCTCGTTTACGGTTTCGCCAGGACACGAGAGAAAGTGACGCGTAACGTGGGACACCATTCACATGCGTCGGGCCATGTATCAGATTTCGGATTGGTAACGTAAAAAAACCGTGAGGTGCAAGATTCGAGGGCGGGGTTCCAAGTGTGTCGCGCTTGGATTTCGCCCTTCTGGCTGTGGCGAAGACTAGGTGACGTCGCGAATGCATCTGCACGCGCGACGCCAGACCGCATCCACAAACGAACCCGGAGTGAGTTGAGTGTATCTCTCACGTGTGGCCATGGCGATTTTCCCCGCCTGTTGTATTTTGCGCGCTGCGAAATAGATGTTCCGCACAGGTATACATTTGGTAACTGCGTTTTGGGCCACGGGGGCACAATTTCTGGTGTTCACGAATTCAGAGTCGTTTCATGTATTTGGACCCGGGTTCGTAAAATCGTCTCCCAAACCCTGAAATGAAATATTTGGACCCGCCCTAAATGTGATCACTGGCTTGTCATCGCCTTGTTCACGCCCTCCGATCTCCCTTTTGCTGACCTCTGTTCGCTTCTTTTCTCAAGCCTCGAGTCTCCACCGCCCTCGCCTGTGCTCGTGCTCTTCCACGTGGTGTTACCTCGACTTGCCGAATCTCACCGCGTTTGTCATGCATCTTCCAAAAATTGCGCCGCCGCGGAGTTTACGTATAATCTTTCTTATCTATGGCTTCCTCGCCATGGCGTCCCCAGCCAATGTCGGCTCCTGCTCAGATTCCTGCGTGCGCTCTGAACGTCTGCAAGTCTGCCTCTCAACTTCGTCATCCTTACCCGTTTGTCGACAAGGATTCAAGTGCACCAGCAGAGGCTCTTATGGTTCTCAATTCCGTGTTTTTAGAACACTCCACTGGGTGACGCGAGCGCCTTCGCGTTGACGTGCCTTTTGCCACCGCCTGAGGGGATCACCTGAAGCAACTAAGGCCACTTTTCGCGACGGGAGACTAAGATGGAGACCCCAGAGGCGAAGAGCGAGAGAGGAGACGCAAAGCTCGGTTTGTTAAAGGGCATGCGGAGTAACGATAAGAACCAAGCCGATAACGACTCGGCGCAGGGAAACGACACGGATGACGGCGAGGTGAAGCGGCTGACAAAGCAGTCTGAAGACCTGAAGCACGAAATGAAGGGCAAGGAGGAAGTAGAATCACCGCCTCAAGCCTCCCTCGCCAGCTCCGCCGGAGAAATCAAATCCTTCAGCCTTGTTGAGCTTTGCATGTACCTACTGGTTAACTTCGCCCCCCCACAATCGCACTTTGTGGTTCAGCTTCTGGTGCAGCTCATCCCTCTGCTTCTCCCCATCTTAAACCACCTCCTCCACCTGCTGGTACAGTCCCCTGAGTCTGTGGCGAATGCGTTCAAGGGAGTCTTGGAGGAGATGGGAAGGTGGGAGGAGGAGTCACGCAAGGCGTTTGAAGGCAGTGTTCAGGCTATGCAGAGGTGGTGGGAGGGAGCGGATAAGGCGCTGAAGGAGTGGGGGGAGGGTGCAGGCAGGGCTGTAAAGGAGTGGGGGGAGGGGTCTGGGCAGGCAGTAAAGGAATGGGGAGAGGGAGCAGGCAAGGCAGCAAAGGAGTGGGAGGAGGGAACTGGTAAGACAGTGGAAGAGTGGGGTGAGGGACCATCTAAAGCGGTGAAGGGGCATCTGGAAGAGATGAGTAAGTGGGGAGAGGGAAATGCTGAGGCAGTGAAAGGGATGGGGGCAGAAATTAATAGATGGGTTGAAGGCAAAGCAGAAGAGGCAAAAAAGAGTATGCAAGGAGTGGAGGAGTGGGGAGGGAGAGTGGCGGAGGGGATGGGTGAAGGAATGGATCAGTTTGGGAAAGATGCTGGTAAGGCGGTTGAAGGGAGTGTTGAAGAGATGAAAGGGTGGGGAGAAGGGATCGGCAATGCTGTAAAGGGGGGTTAGGATCAGGGCTTCAGATTGGATTTTGATGGGCTGTTGGCTCAGGGTGCCCCCAGAAGGAGCCCCCGTTTTTCAGGGTCGGGTTTTGGAAGTTGCAATTTTTTTCAGGGTTAAATTTTTCGAAGGCTGAAAAATCAGGACTGAAAATTTTCAGAGCTGAGATGATAGGTTGAACCTTGACGATTTTTTAGGGTGGGTAGGATTTTAACCTAGCACATTATGTTAGACATGGCATGTTTTGTCAAACAAAAATAAAATAAGCCTGACTCTGTCAAACATAACTTATGTTGTTACTGTAGACTATATATGTTTGTGCCTTAGTGGGTACAGCTCACTAGTCTATATTGCCTTGTATCTCCCCATTCTAGTCATTATTCATTTTGATATGGTATCATAGTAGGTTAGGTCCCCCCCTAGCCCGACCACGCTTCCTCCCCTCGGCCCTAGCTGGCCCCCTGGCCGTCGCGCCCGCCCCTAGCTGGCCACCTGGCCGTCGCGTCCGCCCCTAGCTGGCCCCCAGGCCGTCGCGCCCGCCCCTAGCTGGCCCCCTGGCCGTCGCACCCGCCCCTAGCCGCCCCCCTGGCTGTCGCGTCCGCCCCTAGCCGGCCCCCTGGCCGTCGCGCCCGCCCCTAGCTGGCCCCCTGGCCGTTGCGTCCGCCCCTAGCCGGCCCCCTGGCCGGCGCGCCCGCCCCTAGCTGGCCCCTGGCCGTTCGCGCCCGCCCCTAGCTGGCCCCCTGGCCGTTCCCGCCCGCCCCTAGCCGACCCACTCGCCGTCGCGGTCGCCCCCAGCTTTCGTCGCGGCCGCCCAGAGCCGTCGCGGCTGCCTCTTGCCACCATCGCGGCCGTTTCCCGCCGTCCCTCGACCGCCCCTCGCCGTCGCGGCCGCCCCTAGCCGCCGTCGCTGCCGTCTCCAGCCACCCTCCGGTCACTCTTGCCGTCACGGCCGCCCCTAGCCGCCGTCGCGGCTGTCCCTGGCCGCCGTCGCGGCCGTGTCTACTCGCCGTCGCGGCCGCCTCTACTCGCCATCGCGCCAGCTCCTAGCCGGCCCTGCGAACCCCCCGGTACGGTACTGCACCGCTTTGCACCGTACTGTACCGCACTTCACCGCACTATACTGCACTGCACCGCACTGCGCCGTACTGCACCGCACTGTACTGCTCTACAGTGACCTCTATTGTCACTGATGGCGGAGGTGCTTCGCTTTGACGCTGAGGGCCAGTCAATTGAGTTTGATGCGTGGCTTGCTGACCTCCGTCGCCACCTCACTGGTCAACGGCAGGATGGCCACTCGCTGTCTGTCCATCTTGACGGTACCCTCCCCTGCCCTGACCCCCCCGTTGCACTGTCTCCTGACCCCTCGTCCGCTGAGCGTGAGTCCGCTGCGGCCGCTGGCCTTGCTCGCTCTGTCTGGCTGTCCTGTCACGCTGTCGCACAGCTTGCTATTAGCAATGCCCTCCCCCTGTCCAAGCGACCTCGCTTCAGGTCTATCACCACTGCCCAGGCTTTCCTAGATGCTGTTGTCCAGCGCTATTCCACCCCGCGTGCTGCCTCGGTAGGTCGCCTAATCCTCCCCATGCTCTTCCCTGACCTTGCGTCGTTCCCCACTGTCGCCGACCTTGCCACTCACCTGCACACTATAGATGAGACCTGGCGTGCTGCCTACACTGACACACAGCTTCTAGCCCACCAGCCGCCCCTTACCTCTACTCTCTACCTGCTAGCCACCCGCCTCCCTGACCGTCTTGCCACTGCCCGTGACCACTTCCTTAGCGTCCACCCTGCAGACCTCACCCTCACTGACTTTGTTGACACCCTGTCCGCTATAGAGGCCCGCCACCACTCTATCGCTCAGACCAGCGGTATTGTGCCGGTCCCTATCTTTCAGGGTTGCGCCCCCGCTCGATGCACCTTCTCCGATGGTTCTGCTAGTGTGGCTGAGACTGCCGCTGTAGCACAGGTCCGTCCACGGAAGGGTCGCCGCCCCAAGGCTGGGCGTGGCGGCGGGGGTGGGGGTGCAGGTGTCGGTGGTGCTGGAGCTGTGTCTTCCGGCGGTGGTGCTGGAGCTGTGTCTTCCGGCGGTGGTGCGGACTAGGGGACCCAGACAGGTGCAGCCGAGCAGCCGTCTCCGCAGCCGCCGGCGTTGCAGCCGGACCCGCGTCAGCTGCAGCAGCAGCAGCAGCAGCCGCAGCAGTCGCAGCACCCGCAGCAGTCACTGCAGCAGCAGAGACGGGCGAGTGGTCTCCCGCCCGGGTGGCATGGCGTTGGTGGTAGCGCTGGACGTGGTGGTGGGGAGCGTGGTGGGCTGCTGGGTGGTGGTTCGGGTGACGCGCGTTGTCAGTACCTGCTCCAGACCGGTCCTTGCCGTGGCTTCGTCTGCGGTAAGATCGGTCATACCTCCGTCCGCTGTTTCCGTCGCCTGGACAACCTACTTCGTCAGCGCTTCGGCCCGTCGCCCGAGCTCCCAGATTGGCATAGCTTGCTCCATCATAGGGTTTAGACTTTTGATCTCGATATGGATGAGATTGTTACTGCTCTGCATGTGACGTATGCTGATGACTCTAGTGTGCTTCCGTCTTATTACCCCTTGTTGCCTAGTGTAGGTGTGCCTTGCTTAGAATCCCCTGCTGCGTCAGGCGTAGGATCCCCTGCTTTGTTTAGCCTTGGTGCTTCCGTCACTGCTTCGCCTCCGGCCGCCACTGCCGCGCTCTCCTTCACCCTCGACTCTGGTGCTTCCCGGTGCTTCTTCCGCGACTCCACCACGTTGACACCGCTTCCTGTCCCTGTCGTAGTCTCTCTTGCTGACCCCTCCTCCGGCCCTGTAGTCGCCCGCAGTTCCACCACCCTCCCTTGCCTGGCGGTTCCTTCGGGCTCTCTCACAGGTCTGCACATCTCCTCGTTCTCTAGGAACCTAGTTGGTGTCGGCTTCCTTCAGGACCTTGGCGTCACCACTACGTTCCCTAGACACGAGCGGTACGCTGTCTATACCGAGGCCGCCACTAGTGCCCCCCTGTCCACGTTCCCCCGGGTCCCGGCGTCTGGTCTTTTCACACTGGACACGGTGACCCCCCTGGCTGGGACCCCCTCTCAGGTGGCTGCGTCTCCTCCGGTTGCTGCTGCCTGCTCCTATCGGTCTCTCACCCACCCGACCCTTCTCTGGCACCACCGCCTAGGTCACCCTGCGCTCCCGCGTCTGCGTCACATGTCACAGCACGTTCTCGTCCTAGGCCTCCCCGAGTCGTTCCCCGAGTTTCTCTCCTCCCCCGCCCCACCTTGCACGCCCTGTGTCGAGGGCCGGCTCCACCGTGCCCCTCACTCCTCCTCGTTTCCCCCTACCGCAGCACCGCTACAGACTCTGCACATGGACGTCTGGGGCCCCGCCCCCGTCCATGGGCCGAGTTGAGAGCGCTACTTCCTAGTGCTTGTCGACGACTACACGCACTACACCACTGTGTTCCCCCTGGAGCGGAAGGCTGACGTGCCTGGCGTTCTTATCCCGTGGGTTGTCGCTGCGCGTGTCCGCCGCGGTCTCCCTGTCTTGCGCCTCCACTTTGACCGTGATGGCGAGTTTGCCTCTGGTGTCCTTGGTCGTTTCTGTCGTGCGGAGGGCATCACCCAGACGTTCACCTTGCCGGACTCCCCGCAGCAGAATGGGGTTGCTGAGCGACGCATCGGTTTGGTCATGGAGGTGGCTCGCACCTCCATGATCCATGCCGGTGCACCCCATTTTCTGTGGCCGTTCGCCGTTCGCTACGCCACTCACCAGCTTAACCTGTGGCCGCACCCCCAGCAGCCTCAGGTTTCGCTTACCCTTCTTTGGTCCGGGTCTCCTGGTGACGCCTCTGCGTTTCACGTCTAGGGCTGCCTTGCTCACGCTCGTGCCTCTGGCACGGACAAGCTCATTGCTCGCACCCTTCCCTGTGTCTTCCTCGGCTTTCCCCTGGACGCGTCTGACTGGCACTTCTACCACCCGCCGTCTCACCGGTTCTTTCACTCCTGCGACGTCACCTTTGACGAGTCCGTTTGCTTCTTCCGCCGCTTCCCCCACCGCGGTCCCCCTGTTACCCCCCCCATGTTCCTGGTCACCCCTTCCCCGGTCGTGGCCGCCCCTCCTCCTCCCCCTCCCCATCCTGCCCCCTCTGGTGTGTCCCACGTCACCCCACTTCCGTCGGTTGTCCTGGTTGAGGAGTTTGCTAACTCTGGTGGTCCTGCTGCGCAGTCCTCGCCGTCTGCCCCTTCTCAGGTGTCTCCTCCTCTGCCGCCTCCGCAGCCGCCGTTGCCACAGCTGTCGCAGCCGTCGTCACTGTTAGGATTAAGGACGGAGTCTAGGTAAACTTAGGAGCTAGAATTACTCAAAATATAAATCCGAAATTTTGTACAGAAAAGTCGTCTTCACAAGAAACGACGTCGACAAAAACCTAGCCATTGAAATGTCGCGAAACTTGAATATGTTGTAGCTCTTAATTTCAGCTACCGTTCCCAATTTAAATCACGTTGATTGATGAAGTATTCGCGACGCTATGGCTTTCGACGCATTAGGGGGTAAGCTGTAGGAGGAGAACTTAACTCAATCTCAAAAGTTCAATCAAAGTTCAAGAATCTCACAAGGAATTAAAGGAGCAAAAGAAAGGTTGGGATAGAAAGAGAGGGATGAGAGGGAAGGTCCCAAGAGAGTCCTCAACCAAGGAAACCCCATAAGCACAAAGATTCCCTCCCTATAGGAACCCCAACTTTGACATTTGTCCCTTCCCAACCAATCCATCCAAGTTGGCCACCCTTGCCAACCTAGCTTGGTTGTTCCCAACCAATTTGCAGCTGTTACAGTAGAGTGACAAATTTCCCCAACCACCAAAGGTCCCAACTCCATATAGAGTCACCCCACAACTTCACTTTGTAACCGCCGCAATTGTAACGCAAGCTCATGAACTTTGAATCTTCATAGCTATCGCGTTCTTGCTCCGATTGAAGAGATTCTCGTTGCGTCGGAAAGATCTTCTCAAGATCTATCATCACAAAATACCTGCCCAAACAAAATAACACAAAACACATTCCCAAACTCCAGAACACACCACACACAAATTCTTGCACACGTTCAAACCAAACATGCAAGTTGAAAACATGGGATGGGAGGCAGACAGAATGTGATAGCATATGATGACATCACACAATAGTCACCGCCGCCGCCGCCGCCATAGACGTCGCTGCAGCCGCCGCCGTCACAGCCGTCGCTGCAGCCGCCGCCGCCGCAGCCGTCGCCGCAGCAGTTCGTTGCCTCTGGGGGTGCTGAAGTTGGGGTGGGTACTAGTCCTGGGACTCCTGTCGTGGCTTGTCCCGGCGGGCCTGGGGGTGGTACCGGTGCTCAAGG